GATTTTATAAAGTAAACAAGTATTATTGGACATCCCAAATAGTATATTGAACAAGTAAAGATGGATGAATGGAGTATTGTTTAGGGCAGGTTCAACCATGCAAGTCATGATTTCAGATCATGATGCAAAATCATAACGTAAAATCATGTGATGAAGTTGAAGTTTTGTTTGGAAATGGAATTTGGACTTTATGTTTTATGTTTTCTCATAAACATAACAATCACAACTTGTAAATCTATAAAATTGTCCCAATAATTTATAACTGTGCCAAATATGTAAAAAGTTTATAAGATTACATAATACACTATCATTGTAATAAATACAGTAAATGTCTATCTTTTAGAATATTTTGAAACCTAACTTTGGGAGCAAGTCGATTTTCCCCTATAATTGGAGGGGTTCTCTTCATTGTACAACACACCTCAAGAGAAATATTAGGTATTTTTCTCTTCTCTCTACTTTTTTCTTCTTATTTTGTAGCTTTATAACACGTTATTAACACGAATTATTAAATTTTCACTACAAATCAACGATAGACATTTCTTGACTTTTATGAATCGGTTTTCTCGTAATTTTCTGGCCACAAGTTGTTGTGTTGTGCTATCTTTTGTTGATTACTTGAAGTAAAATAGTGTTACATATATTGAATGATCACGATACGAGGTGATGTCATGGTAATTATTTCCATAAACTTGAGTTTTACTCTTTTATAACATCTTTATAATTCATAAGAGATTTTCAATCTAAAATATATTTAAACAAAAAAAAGATTAGCTATTTGTGGGGAATAAAAATTGAGTATCTACTTTGAATACTCAATTTAAATTTGAGGTAAAGATGAATCTTGTTGATCAATTAAATTTCTCAATATTAAAAAAAAAGAAGTTTGAGGCTTGAGCTAAGCACTACTGGCTAATTAATAAAAGGAAAAAGAAAATTCAATTCAATGTTTATAAATTTTTCTTTTCTTATCATGCTGGACCATAATGTAGCTTGCCAAATTCGTCTTCAACTGTCATTGTTTTGTGGGCTAACATCTCTAATACTCATCGTATACAATACTGGTTTATTGAATATTGATGTGGTACTTTGTTATTAAAGGCTCGAGGGTGTGTCTCAATTAAGGGTAAGATTATAGATTTGTGTCTAATCCCACCAATGAGGTAAGACAATATATTATGTTCAATCACACCAAATGGGGTAAGTCGATGGATTCATGTTCAATCGCACCAAAAGAGTAAGATGATGAATTTATGTCCAATTGCACCAAGAGGGTAAGACATCATGTTCAAATTTTGATACACCATGATGATTAGATGTTGAATTCAAATACTATCATTTATAGATAAAACATTGAATTTAAGTGTCAATGCACTAGATTGATGATATATTGACTATTAAAGCAAACAATGTGATTAAGTCATGAAATATATTCCATTGTAATCATTTCATTCTCTAAAATAAATGTAGTAGCAGTGCATCATATATTTGAAAGAAGACAAATATTTCATGAATAACACACATGAATGTGAAATAAGGTAGTAAGCTATCATAAGATGATATGTTCATATGATTGTAATTCATTCATAAAAAATGAGAACTTTTGATAAATGTTAAAAAAAAACATACAATTCATTCTCTGAAGTAAACAAAATGTAGTATACTAGGCTAGGCAAGAAGAAGGTTGTGGTCTTGATCTTAGACTTGTTATTACCAAGAATGTCTTTGAACACACATGTGTTGTAGAAAGTTTTATACTTTATATATTGACTTGATTTGGATAAGAAGTAATGTAATTAAGCTACATTCTATAGTAAATAAGAAACTTACTAATTTCAATACTTCCGCATTTTGACATAATTGTATAAGCCATCATGAGAATATAATGATGAGACAAATTATAGAAAATTGAAATGAAAAATCCATTATAAAAATTAAATATCTTTTTAATGATGATTTTTTATGACTTGTTATTAAGCCAAGTTAATTATGAGACCATGATCAATAAAATATAAGATTGAGTCCTCTGCGTTCTATAAACATACATATGGGGAATTATGTGTACCTATCCACCCACCAAGTGGGTCGTTTAGATGTTTTGTGATCCTAATGAGTTCGTCTTGTAGTGGTATCATGTGTCTAGATTTACATCAGTCATTACAAAATTTATGATTTACAAAAAAAATTGACACGAATAATATGACTACATGCATCGATTTTTTATAAAAAGATTAAGTGCATTCCCCTTAATAATAATGTAGAATTTTCATCTCAAGAATTGAATGATTAATGTCTATCGATTGAGATTGAATAAACAGAATACTAAAGTGAATGTTATAGTGTAAAATAAATCTTATTATCGTAGCATGATCACAAGTCATCTTTAGAAGAGGTAGAGTATTTGAGGAGAAATAAATCTAAAATTTACTTTAAAAATGATAAACTTGAAATTTTTTCATATAATAGTACATTAGAAATTTACTTAAGCAACAGGCACATCTCATAGTAGAGTTGGAGTTTAATAGTAATAATAATTTTATTAGTTAACATGAATGATTTGATCATCTCAAAGATATGCATACTGAGTAATAGCCCAACATTGAAGAACTAGAAGATTCTTCAAGAATTCTTTATGTTGATTGTTCTCGTGATAAGTTGATTGGATCAACTAACGTTGAGATTAAATTCCTAAATTTTAAAAAGCATAAAAGGTGAATATGAGCTCGTTTACGTTGCATATGATATGATAAAGAGATGCATCTATAAGATAATCACATGTGCGTTTGTTGTCAACTTGTAGTTTGACATTAGCATGTCGGGTCGTGACACTCGTTTCAATATTCATGTCAGTACGTGTCAATTGATCCTAGTTAATGCGTCGAAATGCAACACCTGATCCAATCAACAAGCCACAATCACAAATGACAAGTATATTTTCATAATTTTACAATCAAGTCATGATTCATGACATTCAATTATCTGTCTATCCTCATTTATGATTAATGTGATCAATAATGTAATATTCGTACATCACTGTATCACAATGAAGTAAGAACAGACATATATCACACAAAATGAAATCACAATCATCACCTACCTCAAATAAAGCTTGAATCATATAAGAAACTTGATTCTTCCTTTTCCAAATTTTTCCCCCTTGTTCTTCGTCTTTATCCTCAAGAAATGTGAAAATAGTCAAGAATGTGTTAGGGGTTGTCTCCTAGCTCTCAAAGTCGAAAAGTGCAGAATATCATTTTTGGGGTTTATTTTCATCTCGCTACATCAGCCCCGCCATAGTGGAAATAATCCCACCATAGCGGCTTGCACGGAACCAGTGAGCAAATTTAATAATTTCAAACCCCTATTTCACAACACACCTTCATCCCATGACACGCAGAAACTATCTTCTCGCGCCAAGAATGACTCTAGGAGTTCTACTCGTTCGAATTCAATTCCATAAAGTCGTATGGACTCTGTAATGTCTTAGTTATGTACTCATGAGATCGAATTCATAATTAGATCTCCCATTTGTTACCATTTTCTCTAGATCTCTATAACTCTGATTTCTCCCAAATCTGGACTAGGATGAGAAATTTCAAGTTACTACCAAAAAAAATTCCAACCCAAAAATTTTTCAGTTGGTTTTTCTACAACGATGAAAACCGATTGTTACATCTACCAAATACAACTTTTACGAAGATGGTACACAAGCTTAGAATGAGAAAAATCTAGAGAAATAATGTCATCTCTCTTCTCCATATTTTCTTCTCATTATTTTTATATAGTTTCATAACAATCACAAAGTTATTCTAAAAAATACAACATTTATTGATCAAAATTTAATTCAATGAAAAAAATTTGAGCATAATTTATAGTGTACTAGTCTTTAATATAAACCTCCCACATAGTATAACAATCTTTCCACATTGGACTTGCATTTCTCGATCATATGATCGAGAAGACGAACCAACAATGTTACTTTTAGTCATTTATTGGTGAATAAATTTGATAAAAAAATATAGTAATAAATTTGCTGAATACAAATGGTAAAGTACGAATTTATTTAAAGTAATAATATTTTTTGTTTCATATGAAATAAATGGGTAGTAGATATAAATGCTCGGTTATTTTACAACAGATAAACTTGTGGGTTCATAGTTGCATTTGAAAATTTTCAAATCATGAGTTGAAATTCTCAAATCATACTTTTTGAGAATTTGGAATTGCATCTCATAGTGCATGATCAACGCGAGATGAAGTGTTCAAACTCATTTCATTTCATAATTTTATATGATGAATTGAAATCACAAGTTCATTTCATAATTTTATATGATGAATTGAAATCACAAGTCCAAAATGCTTAGGACCCATTTGACCATATATTTTTCAAAGTAAATTTTGGAAATTTTTTGACAAATAGTGTTTGTTCATAAATTTGTCATTATTTGGTAAATAACCCAAATTCCTAAATGCTAGAAAAAAAATAGTATTTTGATCAAATCTCAATATTTGAAAACTTTCAGAAGTTCAAATTCTACCCCAAAATTTTTTATATATATAAAAACAACATCTATAATAGTTGTTTGCGCTATATTACATAATTTTTTTTACGTAAACACCAAAAGATCGATGGAATATTAAGTGAATATGAAAGTAATGTTGTAGTTATTAATGAAAATGACGAACAACCGCTTAAGGTAACAAAGTCACGTGTTTCGTCTATCGAATGATGATCATTGGACAAACTCTGAACTATCCCATTGCTTCAGTGTCATGGACAACACTTGTTATTTGTTGCAATTATGATTTTTGGTTCAACTTGTTACAAAGTCATGAATCTTGTTATTCCATCTTGCTTTATAAACTTATAATTAGTTTTGATAATTTTTATAACTTATTGGTATAAATCACAATTTAAAAAAATAAAATGTGTTTTCCAAATAGTATGGTCAAATTTATGATGTTAAAAAGGGTAATATTGGGCAATAAAAAGAAGTGTCAAGTCTCCCATGTGCATCTCCGGATTCAGGGATTGTAAATCAAATAAACTTTCTTCCTCTATGCACTTTGCTCTTTCACTTGGTGAAGCCTATCTCATTGCCTCTCTTTCTCTCTGTCTAGGGTTTTCTCTTCCCCAGATAACTTTTCAGCAACTCAATCTTGCTTTATATGTTTAGATTTCAGTCACAATGAGAATTTTTTGGACTTGATATACTTGCTTATTTATTATTCTCTTCTGTTTGATTTGAAGAAAAGATTTGGATATTCTTGTTTGTACTATGACTTCTACAGTTCCAGCAAAGTCTAATAACCCACTTCACAACTTTGATTTGCCATATTTGAAATGGAAGAAGAATCAGCATTCAAACAATCACCAACGCCGCCGATCCAATAAGCTTTCTTCAGATTCATCTTCCCCCTCGCCGCAGCGTCACTCTCCAATGCGTGAATCCATGGCGGCGGCGGCGCGTCAGTCTCCTATGCGTGATTCTGTTGCACGCCAGTCTCCCATGCGGGAACCTATTCCGGGGTTTCGTCAGTCTCCCATGCGCGAGTCATCCTCTCCGATGCGTGATTTGGTTGTGGCAAATCACCGGTCTCCGATGCGTGATTCTTTTGTGGCGTCTCGCCGATCTCCAATGAGTGATTCTGTTGTGGCGTCTCGCCGGTCTACGATTCATGATTCGAATGCGGCGGCATCTCGACGGTCTCCGATGTCTGAGTTTGTTGCTGCGGCTCGCCAGTCTCCGATCTCGGAATCCATTACGGCGTTTCGCCAGTCTTCCATGCGTGATTCCGTGCCTCCACGTCAGTCTCCGATGAGGGAGTCTGTGCCGCCGCGTCAGTCTCCAATGCACTGTGAATCTGTTCCTGAATCGGACAAGGACACAAGTGTTGTTAAGTATCGTAGACATTCACGAATTTCAGCACCTGAGAGTACGAAGAAAGGGATCTGTGAGAAATCAGATAAGAACCATAAAGTTTTAGAGGTGGATGCGGCTGGGAGTAAAGAAGGTAGATCGAAAATCTTGCTCAAAATCCCTCGGAAAAATCATGAAGAGCATAGGGGTGATGAATCTCAAGAGGTTACTGCAGAAGAGGAGGCTGCTGAAGATACAGCACTAAAAACGTGGAATCTGAGACCCAGAAAGGCTGTACAAAAGTCATCAAATCTGAATGGAGGTCCATTTCGAGCCAGTGGATCGGCTATACAGGAGAACAAATTTCAATCGCCTCACATGAATGTGAACAAGCCACAAAATAGTGAATCCAACCCTCCGAAGAAGGAAAAGAGGCCTAGGTTTTCGATAGCCCTCTCCAGAGAAGAGATTGATGAAGATATATATGCTATGACTGGATCAAAGGCTACAAGAAAACCTAAGAAGAGAGTGAAGAATGTTCAGAAACAACTTGATGTGAGAATTTATTATCACTTTTCTCTGTCTATATAAATTTCTGGTTATGAAATGATCTGAATTTCTTTTCTTACTTCCTTCTTTGCAGACCCTCTTCCCTGGTTTATGGCTAACTTCAATAACTCCTGATTTGTATAAAGTTTGTGAAAATGTTCCAAAGGTATGGTTCACTGTTCAATAAAATTACATCTCTTTGTATTCTCACTATGTTTTTAACAACCTGATTTTCCTTGCAGGGTTAAAAGGAATCCTTCAAAGTTGGTGGTTGTCCTTCGAATGTCCTTTGCTTTTTGTGGAAGTTTGAAGGTGATGGCTTCCAAATTTTATGATTTCATTTGGAGGTATAATCAGTTCTTATCTGTAAAAGAAAGATGAAAAGGAAGAATAAACCTTTTTTTCCTAGCACTAGTTTTTCATTAGGTTTCAGAAATAGCTGCTGAAGTTTTTTTTATGATAACGAAAGCTGAAGTTTAGTTCTTTGATTTCATATCCATAGTTGCAGATGTAAATATGGCTTTCTAACAAATTATTGGAAATTCTCTTTTGATATCCCAATGCTGTTTATACTTGTTTCAATTGTCCTTTTCTTGGTTGCCTTTATTCTATATATATATTGTAGTGGAAGGTCATTTGTCAAGATGCAAGGATAGTGTCCTTTATTCCTTTTTCCTTTCCAGATGAAAATGATGCAAATATTTTTACGGGTGGCTGATACATGATCTTAATTCGATCAAAATAGTTTGTCAAAGGACAGCTTCTTGATTTGGTTTTCTGAATGAATTTTTTGTTGTGGGTTTTGGATTTTTTTAAGGTTCAGGAATATGAGACTTCCAGCCTTAAAAGTTGTTATCCAACACAAATTCTCTTCTCCCAAAAACATTATTTGAGAGGTAGGAGGCAGTTATAAGCTGATATATGTGAAGGAGGGACCATTTTGAATCCTTCATTTTAAGCATCATCATCCATCCCACTTGAGTAACAATCAGTATATCTGTTGAAGTAGGTCAGTGGGAGGTAATTCCTTTTGAATATATCAAAGTAAAAATGTTTTCTTGCATCTTGAGCTGCTACATATTTGTACGTTACAACTTACTCATGGTTTTAGGCAGCCTTACACTGGACCTGGCTTGGTTAAGTTACGAAGATGAAGAACATCATCCAGGTTCCAACTTTGTGTATTTTTCTCATAATAGAGGTTTACTTCTCATCATAAACATTATTATTTCTTCCCCTGCTTCATTCCTGATCATCTCTATGTTCAGGTTGCAACATACTGTGTGATTGTATGATTGCAGATTTAGGTGTTTGGGCACACATGCTTTGTCATTCTCTTTCCCCTCTTTGTGCATCTGGGTGGGTGGGTGGGTGGGGGGATTGGCTTAATTAGAGATGATATATAAACCTGTCATCCTCTTGTTTAGAGTTGCAATTTACTCTTCTAGTTGTTTAGTGCTTGTGCTAGACAACGTTTACAGTAGAGTACTCAAGGTATAGAACAGTCTATTATGAAGTAAGCAAGGTAATTAAAAGCGATTTCTTGATTGTTTTGAAGCCATGAAGCCAGGGGCGCTTAACTTCTGAGAAATGTGCGCGCTTCAAACAGTGAAATGCAATATTATCTTGAGAAGTAGCAGCCAACTATTGAATCTTATCTCTGAGGAGTTGGATTGATATCAGCATTTGAAAATTAATTCTTATAGTACGATTATATTGTGTTAATTGTCTCTCAGTTTATGTGTTCTGCTTCAATTAATTGTAAGCATCATTGCATGGATTTGTCGCTTTTTCGCGCAGTTTGTTTTTAAAAGCATCGAAACATGGGATAAGAGGGTGCATTTGATACGAAGGTACGAAGGAACTGTTCTTCAAGAAAATATTTTCTTTCTAAGCAAAAGGTTTTTGTTGTGTTAGATTCTGAAGTTAATGCAAAATGTTCTCTAAACTATTTATATGAAGTTAAGCACAAACAAATATGAGTATGCGCAGGAAGATGCACTTCCCCATGTAGAGTTTATAACAACAGAGAGCTACTAACCTTTTAATTTAAAATTAAAAAAAATGTATTTAAGTGTTTGTCAATTCCGAAAATTACAATTTAATTAGAACACTCATTCATACGTTTAGAATATGAAAAGTCCCATTGGGACAATATTTTTCTTCAATTGTAACAGCTACTTTTAATAATAACACCATCCCACAAATGGAGAAAAAAACTTGAAAGAAGAAAAATAACAGAACATTAAGTATTTTTTTTAGAGTTTTTGGTAAAAAAACATTCTTCAACTATACCTCAAACATAAACTACATCTTTAAAGTATCATTTTTAGCCGAACAAAATCCTTTTGTTAGATATTGTTAAAAAATTAAGGGATCTTACGAAAAAATGAGTAGTTAAGTTGACTATCAACAGAAGTTTTTTTGCAAAATTTTATTACTTTCTACAAGTTCTTTAACAAATAAATCTTAGACATTGTTACTCATGGAGACTAAAAATGATTGGAAGGTGTGAGTGCACATGATTTGTCTTTTTCGTGACGAAAAGAAGTTGGAGATTAATTATTTTACCTTTTACTTAACCAATTAAATTAATAGATTTTTGGGTCAATTTAATATCGAAGTGACCAAAATATTGATTGTCTCCTATTTGAGTTTCGTTTTACATTATTAGAAGCGGAAGTCTCTAACAAATGTCGCTTCTAGCATATTTAATTGAGAAGAAACATATATAAACTAATAATATTTTTAATTAAAATTACATCAAAAATGAATTATAAAACGGTCAAATTAAAAGATTTTGCATAATTCTTAACTCAATTAAAAAAAGTTAGGATAATATTCTTGGCATATTTAAGAACAATAATTAGGAAGGGACAACTTAATTTTTGTGGGATATATCAATTAGTTTTCTGATAAATTTAATTTGAAGGACGAAAATTGTTTACTTTCAAATATTTGAAGGATGTTTTCTCCTAAAAATTATATTTTAAGGATGTAGGTTAAGTTTGGGATATAGTTAAACAATGTTTTATGCTAAAAATGATACTTTAAGCATGTAATTAAGTTTGGAGTATAGTTGAAGGATGTTTTTGGCCAAAAACTCTATGCGTAAATAAAAACTAAAGTATATATTTAAATAGTTTTAAATGTAGTTTGTAAATATTGAGATAAAGACATCTCAAAATACATTAAACCTGGTAAATGTCGATAATTATATAAATCATGCATAAAATTCATATATGTCGAACCAAAGAGAGTCAGACATTAATAGTATTAATCATTCAAGTCTTTCCTCCTATATTACGTCGTTTTGATTAAGTTGTGAATCATCACTTGTATTTGTTACTAAAACGATCTCCAATTAAGTAATTTTTAAAAATTGTTATGTTTAAATAAAATTAAACTATATAATTTAATCATTTTAAAATGTAATTTATAAAATATTGAGACAAAGACGACTCAAAACACATTACACTTGGTAAATATCAATAGTTATAGAACTCATGCATATAGTTCATATGTGTCGAACCAAAGAGAGTGAGACATTGATATTATTAATGATATAACTTTTATCTCCTATATTATGTCAATTTAATAAATTATGAATCATCACTTATGCTTGTTGTTAAAATGACCTCCAACTATGTAATTTGTTTAATTATTATGTTTCAATAAAATTAATCTATATGAATAAATAATTTTTAAATGTACTATATAAAATATTGGGATAATGACAACTCAAAACACATTGGACCTAATAATTGTCAATAGTTATAAAAATCATGCGTATAGCTCATGCATGTCGAACCAAAGAGAGTCATATATTAATAGTATTGATCATTGATAGTATTGATCAAATTAGACTTATCTCCTATATTACATTGATTTAATGAATTGTAAATCATTACTTGTATTTATTACTAAAATGACCTCCAATTAAGTAATTTTTTTAGTTATTATATTTAAATAAAATTAAACTATACATTTAAATAATTTTTAAATGTAATTTGTAAAATGTTTAGATAATGACAATTCAAAATACACTAGACCCGATAAACATTCACAATTATAGAAATCAAGTGTATAGTTCACATATGTCGAATCAAAGAGAACAAAATATTAATATTATTAACCATACATGTTTTATCCCTATATTAAGTCGATTTGATAAATAATGAATAATTACATATATTTGTTACTAAAATGACTTTCAAATTCTAATTAAGTATTTTTATTATTATTATGTTTAAATAAAATAAATTATTGTTAAGTAAATTCAGTTAACGCAAATATTTTGACCATAATATGTTGTAATATCACTTAAGTAATTTTTTTTTATTATAATCCAATCAGCAAGAATATAATGTGATTCAAAAGATATTTTTTTTACTATTGATGTCATAATTATTATTTTTAAAACATAATTGAAAATATTTTTTTCACAGATTGGGTCATCTAATCTACTAATGATCAATGTGATATTTGGTAGAATTTGTGGTACTTAGGGATTCCGTAGTACATAATTGATTATGGAATCCTCAATAATTGATGCAATTAATTATTTTTAATATGTTGGAAATTGATGGAAGAATATAGAGATCCCAAGAACGGATTCCCCAAAAATATATTTAATTTTTAAGTTAAAAAGGTAAGAATATCTAAAAAAAACCAGTTTATAGTATGAATGAGTCTTTTACTATTCTGGTCAAATTATGCCAAAATTTTCTAGCCAAAAGGATTTTTCCTATAACAACATACCCATTGTAACAACATATTTTGTATTTGCACAAGTGGGTTACGAGGAGGATAAAGTGTGTGAATTTTACTACAACCTCGTAAAGATGTATTATTTTTGAAAGATCCTTAATTTAAATTAAATCAAATATCCAAATAATTTGCAAACGAGAATAAATAAAATGTGATATTTGAAGCATAAGAGCACGGTATATCTGAAGAATGAATAAACTATTAACTATATGGAAAATTGTTTGGAATGACAAACTAATAATCAAATTAAATGTTATAATCACACTTTGATTTAATTCTGTCTTGTAGCAAACCGTTTGTCAGTCACCTTTCTCCCTCAAACTCTCGCTCGCCACTCTCCCTCTCTCGCTCGCTTCCTCTCACTTTAATACAAACACAAGTGTATTAAATGTGTTTTTGTTTGTATAAAGCGAGAAAAAAATTGTATATATACATATATTTTTGTTTTCCTCTCTCCCCTCTCCCAGATTTTGCTTGCCACCCTCGCCTCAATCGTTTACAAACAGAAATGAAATGTTTAAATTGTGTTTATATTTGTATAAAGCGAGAGAAAATTGTATATACACTTGGAAATACATATATTTCCGTCCTACACACTTGTAGTTATATAATACAAATATTCCTCTGCCAAATTTCTTTTGTCTTTCTCTCTTTCTCGTTTTATACATACACAAATTACACAATTGATTTGTATACAATACTTTCTTTTGTACATGTATAGTGAATCAAACAATTGGTTTCTTTGTATATGTATAGCAAACTATACATATTTATGTTTGCTATGGAGTGCAATTGTGCAAACATTGATATAACATACAAATAGGAATTTTGTGTTTGCTATATATGAAAGTTGTTCTTAACTATAATGCTAATACCATAGGCAAAAATAGAAGTCTAAGGGGTCGTTTGGTAAAGTGCATAAGAATAATGCAAAATTATGGAAGCATTATTTCTTATACAATGTTTGGTTGATGCATTAGAAATAACAAATCTTGCATAATTTCTATTAGAAAATATGTGTTTACAAATATACCCTTCACACTTCCTTTGCAACAAAGTTCTTTGCTAAAACATCAAAAAAAAAATATGTGCTAAAACACCATTAACTCTTCTTCGTCTATTTTTCAAAATTAATATTAAGTAGATGTACTATTGCGTTAAAATATTTTTATGAAAAGTTGGCAATAATTTTTTAATCAAATATATCGTTACAATAGTAAAATTGTATTAAATTATATTGAAATTAGATACTTTTTTATAAGGAAAAGATACTTAATAGGTCATAAAGTCTATTAAGACACCAAAAAATAAAAGACACCGAAAAACAAATCAAAATAAAAGCAAAAACTTATGACAACAAAGAAAATGAAAAGACTTTTTATGGATAGTTTTGTTATTTAATCTAATGCAAGTATTAAATGTTGTGTATTACTAATACTTAGAATTTCTTGGTATTAATACACAACCTAATACACAATAGAGTGTATAACTGATGCTTGCAATAGTTATACATAGCATGAAAAGTGTACCAAACAAGGTACTACTAATACACATCTAATGCATGCATTATATTTTCTAATACACTCTACCAAACGACCCCTAAGTATGATCATGAAGTCTATTAAGCAGGAAAGCGAGAGAGAACACTCAATTACCACCTAAACTTTTATCTTTATCAACAACTTTCAAACCCTATTTTCTAAGGTAATGTTTTACAAGATACAACATGTCATATCTAATTACATGCCCTCAATACTTCTTTGTCTTATCTCTCTATTTTTCTTGATGCTCACCATTGGCTATCTCTGACACTTCTCTAGTGGAGCAACTACACTTCTCCTCTATACATGTATAAATTATTTCAGGCTCGCTTTTCTCATCTTGTCCACTACGGTAGTCACTCTTACCTTCTTTATGATATCTTCATTCCTAATATTATCTCTCTTAGTATGTCCACACATTCATCTTAACATCCTCATATTATAGGGCAATGGAAATATCATAATATAGTGACTTTGTCTTTAAAGTGTAGTTTCGCACCTTACTCATCATGTTATTGTCACGCCCCGAGCCTACACCCTGGACGTGGCTGACACCAATGACCATTGTTGGCATTGAGAGACCCCTTGGTCTGACTTACTTAACT